ACACACACACACACACACACACACGCACACAATAACAACTTATCATCTGTCACTGTCTCTATTTTTTTACCTTCACCTCTAAGCGCCTTTCGACATGCTCATTAGCCACCTTTGTCCACGAGAGCTCATTACAGGGCCATGTATTTATGCACATTATTCTTTTTATGGTACAGACATACCAGTAGCAGACATTAAGATGAATTAATCAAGGACACACGGCTCATGGTCACGCTACTCCCACACGCAACAGAACCAAAACTGGCCTTTTCCATGGAGATTTTAGCGTGTGGTGACCACTGTTTTTAGTTTTGGTTGTTACTGGAACCTGGAAACCTGAGGATCCTAGAGGAACAGCCAAAGGCACTCATCTGTAAGAACACCAGATCTTATAATTTATACATTGTTTTTATGCTTTGGCCCGGATTACATAATAACTTAATGATCAAACAAAGTTACCATTTAGAAACGGCTGCAATGGGATTTTTTGGTTTACCTTTATTAATTGACAGGGTCGATCAGTAAAATGGTTTAGGTTGAGTTTGACATAGTCGAAAGAACATCAACAAGAATGAAAAGCAAACTGAGTGGGAGACTGGATAGCCACTGGCGATTACAATCTAAAAAAAAGGCTGCTGCAGCTATACTATCCCAGACTAGAGGAAGCATGTCCTCACTGACTTGTCAGTACGACAACGACCTTTCCGACAGCAAAGCGAGAGGGGGGGGGGGAGTTGACGCCCCTTAACCTATGTGCCAAGATAATTCAAAATGAGAAGAAAAGAAAAGAAGATAACACCGAACTCACAAAAGCAAAAATCAACTCAAAATGAACAACAGCAACAATAATAAACCAAACAGCAAAAGTAGAGAAAGACAACAACATTGCGTATTATAATATTATGCAGACTCCTAAAAGAGGTCTCACTTTTCTTTTTGGCTCCTTTGCTTTTGAAAGAGATAGACAACGTACGAAAATGGTGCATACGCCGTCAGAGATTCAACACCAACTATAGTTTCTTCATTTCCAGACGCCAAGAGAGACCACCCCCCCCCCCCCCCCCCACACACACACACATACACGCATATACACACATATACACACACGTGTGCGCACATACACACACAAGTACTCATGCACACATACACACACACAACCTAACAACATTTTGCA